AGACTGTTTCGACTCCCACTATTCTTTTCGGAGATTCTTATCGTCCTAAGGTAGGATGGGGTAAGAAAGAACGCATCGGCGAGGAATCCTCATGTGAAAAATAAGTTCAATCAGGGAACGATTAAATAAACGATGTCCGTAAATTTTCACGAGTCAGAGAAACGGTTTAAGGGTGTCTCCTTGTGAACGACATAATTGCTCCCATCAATCCGAGACGAGACAAATTAAAAGAGTATCAGTGAATGCGATACGGCCTCTTGCATTTAACGACGATTTCATGGTCCGAGAATATAGGGGGCTAGACACTTAAGAGTTATATAAAAAAGTAAAGTGAAAAGACCGAAATCTGAGAAATAGATAGTTCACCAAAGAAATACTTTATATTTCAAAACTAACCGATTTCTGTTTAATTGTCGAATTCAACGTAGAAGTTAGTTTATTGAAATTTCTTGGTATCTATGATAATAGATTATACTTTCGCTTTTCTTCCGCTGTCTCTCAAATAAGAAATTTTTCCTTTCGAAAGAAGCATATCCGGTTAACCGGTAACATCTGGAGAATTAAACAATGGGAATATTAACTTCGTCGACTTTCGAAAAATAAGGTTCCGAGACGTACTCTAGATTGTGCTACCGGCTTCATTAGTGGCGGGCAAATATCAATAACATTCAAATTACTTGCCGTTAGTTACTGGGAAAGAAGGACTGCCTAAATTTCCCGAGAATACTAATTAAGTATCAGTAATTAATTCCACGGGATGATGTAATTTATGCGAACAGCTCGTTACCAAACAGGTGGTATTCAACGGCTAATGACCTGGGAACACCAATAATTCATTGATTAACGCCATCTACTGAATAAACAATAAGCGCTCCACTTTGTTGTCTCCCTGGCCGCCGCCATCCCTCCGCCTTTTCCCATTAGGATATAACAATCAACTTTAATAATACACCGCGATAATTCATTACCGGCCCTTCGCGAGTGGCCTGCCTGAAACGATCCGAGGAAAATTTAATACTTTCCCAGGGCGCCGGTAAAAAGGATTAACTTAATAAGAGGTCTCATTACTTCTTAATTGTGTCCAGGGTTGTATCTCGATCGCGATGCTTCCGCGCCGACGGTGAAGAAACTTCGGATTTATATTCAGCATCCAGATTGATTTAATTGAAACGTTCCATCCAATTATGCAGCCGATCCCGTTCGTTTACCGAACTTCTTCCGCGATTCCCCTGTTCATCGCGTCTACAGGTTCCGTTACGAATGGAAGTAGCAGACGAAGATTATCGAATCCCCCTTCAGTAACTGATTTTTTAATTCCTTCATTATATTCGTGGCCCCACGTGTCAAACGGTACTTTTCAGTTAAGTTTTATGAATTGTGGATATGTTTTGCATTTCTAAATAGCTAACAGATGATTCTTAATATTCTAATAACTGTCTTCACAATATCACATTGTCTATGAGTTTGTAAGTTTAAAGAAATAAGGAATTTTCAAAATTATGGATAATTGAACGTTTCATTTTTGTAGAATTGGCTATTTCGACCACTATGGGCGCATTTGTAATTTATTGAAGCCTAATTTCGCTCGCGACCGAATAGGCAAGTCACTACCGCGCATGACTAGGTCTCTTCAGAGCGATCTGGATAAAATAGCGTATAATTAGATAGGGTGTAAGATATATTTGGAGCGTGTCCATGTTGGCCTGCAGCCAGAGCTCACCCTTTTGATATATACCTATAAAGGAGGTCAAGAGGGTGCCCTCGTCAGAGGGATAACACCGACGCACTCGGGAACAGCTACACCGGTACTGATTGCTGAGGCTTGTCGTAAATTTTTGTGCGTTATTAAATTTCTATCGCGACTGTTTACCGGCACTGTTCAATCGCTGTGTTATAAAATTTTCATTGTTGCAATTAAGAAAGTATAAAGTTTGAAATCTTGTTATTAAAAAATAAGTAGAATTCTCCAGATTTCTTTACGACAATAACTGTAACGTACAGTGTTCGAGTAAAAACTTCAGATTCAAAGAAGTGTTGTTTTAATTGTAGGTAGTGACAAATATTAATAAAATTAATTACTCTCTAAAAACAATACTCACTGAATTTCTTCAATTATTTTCAGGTGCTTTAAATTTTCTCACGTTCTATTATATCTTGTGAATTGTTTTTTTCAAATAATTTGAATGTTCCATCTAAATTCCATAAACGTCGATACTTTTCCTACGTTTCATATTCCATGTTTCATTCTTTCTTTCATTCGGCATGTTTGTGCGAACTATCGAAGCACCTCTATCTCGTCTGCAGCGATATTTCCAATATATTTTCCTGCGGATAGTATATTTCACTCAAACACGTCACATCCCTTCTCTCTTCTAAACCGTAGCAACAATCGCTGCAGCATCCTTTATACATACACGGTACTCACGGATTACAATAAATCTGTAAATGATGTGAGTATAACCGCCTAAGAAAGAGCTTAAGGGGAAAATTTGTTCCCCTTTACTCTCGAGCGGCTGTTGACTGATACGATGTGTTTTCTCAGCGGCGAATGAAATATTTCATACGGTGGACACAACGCGCGCGGTAATAAATGACGCGGAAATGGCGATAAATTTTTAACCGGGGAAGTGTATTTTACACGACGTACGAGGCAGGGAGGAAAGACCATTAAACGTCTAGTAAACAATTGTATGTCGTTTGTTCTCTGTTTCCGTTTATAATTTTTTTTCCTCGTTCTTCCTCCACTTTCATTAACCGTCCGATTTTCATCTTCTATACGTTTCCACCACGTAAATCGTTGTTCTATCCGACGAATCTTTTACATTAGCCAGCGATAAGGTATCGAATGCCGCCGCTATGAATTTCCAAGCGGGCGAAAGTTTGACATCAGATATTTCTTAATTACACGGCCGCGGCTTAACTTGTCAAGTGTGCGCAATTAATTTTCTACGGTGTTAAGCTAAGCTGAAGCTCTCACCCGAACGCACGCAGCGTGTTCATAAATGACGGGGATTACGCTCGGTACCGTCGACTTACATTGTTATCTAATAATTCTAATTAGCGTTAACGAACTTCCTCGTCGCGTTTCATCCGATGTTGCCTGACATCGAGAACTCGAATTCTGAGGAGTTTACTCCTTGAAACGTAACCTGAATTTGTTTAATCCGTTTTGTATCGAATTAAAGATTTGACGATTTGAACGCAGATTGGGATGGAAATCTTTCAATTTTGTCTGAAAAAATAGAACACAGTCTTGAAATGATTGTTTTTTAGTCGTTGTATTTTAGTTCAAATGTTTTTTTAGATTTCGTTTTGTAGTGCTCACACTTTGATTTCGTGTTTCATTTATTCAAATAATATCGGAATGTTCTACGTTAGACAGCATTAAGATATTCATGTTGTTGTATGTCGGTTTTCTACTGCATTTGTTCCTTCAACTTTCTGAAAAAAAACATTTTTTAATTTTTGATATCTAAAATTTTCAAATGTCTGAATTTCTAAGTTTTAAATTTTCGAATTTTCAAATTGTCAAATCTTCTTAATTTTACATTTTCAGATTCTAACGTTTTAGAGGGATAAGAGTGGGTGTATTTATTTCTCTCTCATTCAGAAATTAGTGGCAGAAATACTTACAATTGAATTATTCATTTCTAAAAAACAACTAGTATTTTTTACCTTACGTTATTAGAATATTGTATGACGGTATTTAAAAGTCTATGGTAATTTTGAGACATTACTAAGGATTCAGCTGTCTATTCCCAGGCTTCCAGCGTCGAAATGGTTTGCGTGCTTCGGCGTTTCTAGTTTGGTTCACAAAAGGTCTGGTCTGCTTCGAGAGCGGCTATGATTCTGAACGAGGAAGAGGGAGATAAGACCCTCGCGATTATTCACCGTTGAAATTCAGTTCCTCGCGTTCAGCAATTCCACGGGCCTCGGGGTTCAGCGAAAACTCTCCATAGCGACTGATTTGCTAAAATTATTCTTTAGGTTGGAAGTAACGAGCGTAGTGTTGCCGATAACCGACAGGAAGCGGCTACTCGTAAATTTTCCTCGTATCATATGATTCACGGAATGGTCTGGTCGTTTCATTATGTTCTCTGTAATTGGTGACTCCAACGGGCTACCTCCTGAAAATGGACCCTCCTTTCGCCAAGATAACGACCGATAATAAATCATCTTTAACGAAGAGTTCATCGAAGAAGCCACCATTATCGCCCTTTTTCCTTATTTCTAGTACTTTCCCTTAATAATATTCAATCGATCAAACTTCTAACAATATTTACCATTCTATGCCTCATTAATGTCCTTTTTTACTCGATCTCACATAAAATGTGTCGAAGATACTTAAAATGATAAACTGAAATTTTATAAGAAACTTTAGTAACAGTAGAGTAAAAGACAAAAATATTAAGCGACCGGTTAATCGGAGTATTTAGATTAAACATTATTTATATTTTATTGATGGTTTTTGTAATTGCATAAATTGGTATTGTTGTAACCGCAGATAAATTTAAATTGAAAATCATTGTTAAATAAAAAAATTTGTAGGCATTTGTACAATCATGTACATCATTAACAAATATGGAATGCAATATTATGTAATGTCTGAAATTTTCTCACATTCTTCACTCAGAAAACCTCGTATAACATGCAGTAATTCTTCTCAATTTAATGTTTGTATAAAAAATATTCGAGTAAAATTATCATTTGCCCTACATCACTCGCTCGCAACACATTTCTTTCATTTTAATTGAAATAAAGAACACAAATAAGTATGCAAATTTAGACTTTCATAGCTTCTTTGCAACAATCGGATACAAACAGAGTTTTCTCCTGAGGTAAACAAAAATAAAATTTTAGTGCACTTGATTAATACGTGTATTTTACGGTGCTCCACGTATCAACACAGTATATAAACGCAGTAAAATTTATGACGTAAATAGCGAATTTTATTGAGAAGCAAATACGTTTGATTTAACGATGATGTTTCGTCATTTCAGAGGGCCTCAGAGAGTACTTCACCAAGTACGGGGACATCACAGAAGTCATGGTCATGAAAGATCCTACCACGCGACGATCAAGGTAAGTTTCAGCTAGTCAACATCCTTTATTCTTTGCTTGTGGTCGCCGTTTTCTGTTTCTAAATATGTAACAGTCCACTTTAAACTTTTGTTTCAAATGATCTTCTCAGTCGGCTGCCTATAAATTGTAAATTATCGGGAACAACGCACACGCAGAGACGTGTATTCAATTTCAACATTTTTTGATTTCAAACTTCTACACTTTCAAAATTTCAAAAATTCAGCTGACTATGTGCATTGTAATGACGGTGCTGCGAGAGGCATCCGGAGTTTTAATCGTCGTCGAAGAGTATTCTCGATCGTTTATCTCGCCGTGGTTTTATGGAGCGTCATTGCCTTTTGATCCTGAGTTATGGAGGCATTTGACGGACGACCAAAGATTCCTAGGCCCCTTATTAGCCGTGCCACGGCGGCATTCTGCGTTCGCGTGCTCGGGTTTCCTACCAACCGTGAGGACATGCAAGCCGCGTCATATTCTTGCACATTATGCTAATCGGGTTTTCAAATATAATGTGGCGAGGCCAATCAAAATAATTTTGTACCAATTGACCAGCCTGCCGCGATTAATATTATCGTAATTGATTACGATTACTCGTTGTAAATCAGAAGCTGTTTGTGAGTTGCGAGTATCCGCGCGAGTTTACTTTCCTCGGATCATAAATTTCAGGTTTGACTCGTCGTGGAACGCGAATGCTCACGAATTTATTGCCCACTAAATTAATCTCGAGCAATTGTTTCACGCGGTAGAATCAGTGGTACATCGTACGAGATTTTATTATGTTGTTCGTGAATGTTTTCGAATGTTTGTGATGGTTTGAAACCATGTGATGGCTATATAGTTTACCTTCTGCGTTAGCGAAGACGGTTGTAAATGCTTGCATGAAAATTTTTAAATTTTTCATTTAATGGTGCGCTATTTCCGAGATTGTTGTTAATGGTATAACATTTTTTAAACCAATAATGACATATTAATAACATGTATTTTTTTCGAATTCATACAATCCTTAATGCTTGATATGAATTTTAACCACTTTTCTTTAATATTCTGAACGAATTTTTTAAACGAAAAATTGAAAATTTTGCAGAATTGTACTTTTAAAATGTTGACCGTCGTGAGTAAACACCAAATAATCGCATAAGAATGTCTCTGTTGAGCATTCCTGGGTGAGGTTTCCCTGAGTTATAAAAGCGAGGACTTAGTTTACAACCTATTACATTTTAATTCCTTTAATAGCACGGGAATTTTTAGGGTTTCATTTAATCCAATGCGCTCTAATATCTCCGTGGCCGTTGAAGATATGAAATGATTATATTTATAACAACAGTTTAGTATGGAAATTGGCAATGTTTGATTTTATTTTTTAGAATCTCCTTCATTTACTATTTTCTATTGCATTGTAATATTTCTTATAGTATATCGTTGCACTTATTTTAATAAATGTTATAATATTCTAAATAAAAGTGCATAGTATTTCATGTAAAAGAATAAAACAGACTTTGAAATTTCCACGAGATTATCTTATCGTTCACGATATCATAATTGTCAGAAATGGTCTCGTTTTCGGAATACGTGATGCATTCGATATGGTGCAGGATTAAGTAAATCCCAGAGTACGCCGAGACAGAGCAGATTCCTTGCACGAATGTAACTAGTCGAAGAAGTAAGATCATTATGGCTAGCCACGTACACAGGATTTATCTAGCTGTCGTGATTTCCTTATTATTTTCGACGTTTAATGTTTTCACACATCTCTATCTGTATTTATACGCAGGTGAAACGTAAAATTTTACGCCGTAACTCCGAGTTACGTAGCTGCTGCTCCTTGATATCAATTGATGCGCCGTAAACCATCGAGATTGCTCGACTTGAGATAGATACGGCCGATTTATAGCCTAATATAGCGGGCGAATGTATAGTCAAGAATCTATTTCAAAAAACTCTTATTGAAATTTTTACGTCTTTACTTTTATTCCGAACTTCTTCTCCGGAAGTCTCTTAAAACCAGAAATAGAATTTTAGGAGTGATACCAAAGTAATTTCCGGACATGGGATACGCAGTCTTATGGCAGATACTTTGACCATCGAACTGATTACCCGAATATCTTCCGAACTACCAGATTTCGAGTTCCGCAGCTGTCGATTTATCGCTAATTCACTTAATTGGATAATTTACAATCAGAACGTTCTATCTCAAGAAGTAAACTTTAAGTGTGAGCCAACGACTTTCCTAGAAATTTGATGCTAATAATCTACGACATTTTCGAAATAATCTTTATATCATAGAATTAACGAAAGGGTCGGTGAAAATCTGTCTACATACATGAAACTGAAATAGAAAACTATCGAGTAAAAAAGAACTTCAACGAATATTAACAGATTGTTCCTGTTTTTTATCATGAAAACTTCTTTTACTATAAGTTTTCTTGTTACGAAGTGACAAATTACAGTCGTTACGACTATAGAGAAGCAGTCGACAAGCTATCTTGCCGAATAGCTAATCGAATTTCCAAGCTGGCTGATAACCTATTTTCGAGTCGTTCGGCCTGTTTATGATAATGTCCCGCGATACGGAGGGATAGCAGGCACGAAATCCGCGTGCACAGATGCGAGCGGACTATCTGCTGCAGCAAGCGGCGAGTTGGTAAGTGCGATGCATCTGCGGTAGATAGCGAAAGGAAATAATGGGCGCTTGGGATCGCTTCGTGGCGCGCAGGTAAAGCTAGCTCGCATTCGTTGTCACATTTATCTGGCTGATAAGTCTATTCTTGGCCAGTGCATCTGGGCCTACCATCTCCAAATACGTTGCGCGTGCTGGATCACTATAAATGCACGCGTCATTACTTACGTTATGTATCGTTGACGATATATCCAATCCCCGTGAACGATGCTACAGTAAATTTTCTCGGTTTTCAGTGGAATTTCTGCGACTAGTGGAAACGTTACATTCCTGCATTTGAAGAGGCTAGTTAAATTAGACAACATTTGACGATACTGCCTTATATTTTAGTTCTACGTTAACGAATATTCCATAATAGTCTACATAACTGAACTTGTAATGTTAAAGTTTGAGTTTATACACTTACATTGAAATATTTGGCATTCTAATATTGGAGATAAAAATATGAAATTTTCTTAACTTGTCTATTTTAAACCACCGATTCGCTTTTTATGCTCATTCACAATGGTCTCAATGAAAGTCTACTTCAACTAATTAATGTTTCTACTCAAGATTATTCCAAAATTGTGGTTTCATAGACTGTTGTCTCGTCTTGATATTGACTACAATATCGCATTATAAATTTCAGATGATAATACGGGAAAAGTTGAGGAAGACCTTGAAATAACATCGACGACAACCTTAAAAAAATCATTATCATTAGACTCGCTGCGCAAAATCAAGTCATACTTGTTAGTGTTACTTCAATAGCAGCGGATGTTCAATTTAACCGAGACACCCCGTAAATGATAACAGATATCGTGAATTCCTTCTGCACCGTGCTCTCCTCGTAAAAACGTCGCGCGTGATTTGCTTGAGTATTTACGTCGAATAAAGACGTTCGAAGGAATTAGGAGGGAAACGTAAAGCTGTCCGGTTGTCGGCGAAATCGCAAGATTTATAGACAGAAACCGCGTCGTTAAATCGCGCCGGCGACTAAAAAAGGGTTAATAGCGTATATGGCCAGTTACGAATTTATTGATGTCTCTAGCGACTTGCACGTCCGCTGTTTTCGTTCTCCGAATATACATACCCTCCGAACTTCACTCGGAAAACTAAAATAATCCCCGGTGTTCTCTCGTTGATATCGATGACTTCGCCGCTAAGTGTGGACACGCGAACAAGTTTCAGCCCGTTTTCATCTGTCGCCGAAAGTGTTCACTGGCGAATTTAAGAAGGTGAATCTGGCTGTCGATGCGATGATTGGCGCCTCCATAAATAAGTAAGTTTCTAGGAAGAGTACGTATCGATGGTGTTCCATATTTAATGTGATTTGGATGAAGATTCAGCTGAACGTGCTTCATTGAATTTTTAAAGTCTACTTTCCCAAATACCCCAATGTATTTTTAATGATCTCATTTGAAATGCAATTCGCTATAAAACACTAAATTAAGAAGACAGCACCACTAATCGAGCTTACAACGTTCACACGCAATTCTATTGCATCTAACCACCTCCATTTTATTCGACCCTCTCGCACAACCTGTCGATTCCACTACCATTTGATTGTAATTGCGCCTTTATGATTCAAGTGCGAAACAATTATCACAGCGCGCGCCGCACGGTAAAGATTTCCGCACGGAGGACACCGATTAACTCCAATTCCCAACGAGATAGTTGCTTTCTATTAATTCCGGTCGTCGTGTAATTTGCACAATTTCCCCTCTAATTGTATCTTAGCAGCTGATGCAAATTGTCCCAAGTTCGGGTTAAGTTCTCGCACGTAATTGTTGCCATGACTTGGTAACCTTGCAACCAGTACCCGCGGTCCGTTCCGACGCGTTCACCGGCCCAACAAAAATAGGTGTTTTCGCCCGAAGGGCGGGAGATCGAGCAACAGCACCGAGGTGCCGCCGGTAAACAGAAAATCCCCACGGCAGTACGAACGTTAAATGCTGGCATCAGAGTAATTACCGGGTTTTAACCGGAGGAAGCGAGGGGACGACAACGACCGTGACGTCGGACGAGGGTCGAAGGAAGGGACCACATTGGCGAGCAGGGTGCGCAGCACGGCAATACAGGTGGCTGAGCGCTCGTGAAAAGAAGAGAATGGACCACGTCCGATGGCGAATTACTTTCCGAACGCGACGGTACTCGCTTGCGAATAGTACGTAACAAGTACGGTCAAATAAATAGCTTCATCGGAACGTAAAGTCGCAATTATATCCATCTCGTAATTAAAGTAGCAAATTTCTATTCTATCCGTTAGTAATGCTCGTATTCACAAAAATTTATGTTCACAGAAAATCTGTTCGGTTATAAATATTATCAACGGTATTCTACG